AAAGAAATTGAGATGTATGTATATTTAGCTCACACTCGTTATGCATATTTATCTATATAGTGACTTTAAATTCTGAATTTATCTTTGATTATAGGTCTGCTTCGTTGTGGAAAAAGTTGTAGGCTAAGATGGATGAATTATCTTAATCCAAATCTAAAAAGAGGAAATTTTTCTGAGGATGAAGATGATCTAATCATCAAGCTTCATGCTCTCCTTGGCAATAGGTAATTTTTCCATTATTTATCCCTTAAAAGGAAATTCTAGATTTGTTTGCTTTGAAAAATATAAACTATTAACATAAATCGGAATTAGGTATGAGATTCATTTCTAATTAGGTCATAGCTAATAATATTTTTGATAATTTATTACTAATTCATTGTTAAATAGAATTAATGACGAATTTATACTGTTTAATACATGACAAAAGTTATCTATCGCTAATTTATGTTTTTTGACTAGTGGACTGATTTTTATTATTTAGACAAGTACTTTTTGAACGATTGACAATAACAATAATAAGTTTCACTAAAGATGCTTGCTCATTACTATTGTGATATCAATTTATATGATATTATTCGACTCGCTCATCGAGAAGATTATGAAAAAAGTCTTTGAAATTTGTGATATCTTAAACAAGTCATGTGTGATAATACCATTTTTATGCCTATAAAAATGTGAAGTTTCAATTAAACATTTTTAAAAGATAATGAAAGAGTGTCACGTAAAATGAAATTTAGGGGAGTTTCAGGTAGCTAGTATTTGTGTAATTTTTTAAAAAAATTGACATTTATTTTTCAGGTGGTCACTAATAGCAGGAAGATTGCCGGGAAGAACCGATAATGAAGTGAAGAATTATTGGAATTCTTATTTGAGAAGAAAACTTATAAAAATGGGAATTGATCCAAAAAATCATAGGTTATCTCATTATCTTCACATAAAAAGACTTGAATTTCTCCAAGAAAATAACACAAGATCAGAAAATGATGGAGTAATATTTGATGCTGCAAGTTCTTGTGCTAATAAAGATCAACAAATTACAAGTTCATTGCTTGATCTCAATTCACTTCCATAGATAAGATCGAAGACGTTCTCGATCATCTCCTTTGAGAGTTAATTAATAATATGTACTATGGTTGATTTGGACATCATCGTTATGAACTCGATCTACTTATTTTTTAAGAAACATTTTAGAGAAAAGTACAATGTATGGTTGTTATTGGTCTAGTATTCATGTTTTGTTATTGTAACATTTACTTATCAATTTTAAGCACTAGCATTTCTCTTTCTATTTTGTTCCACCAAAGGTTTAGCTTTTGTGGCGATTAATGCCTCTACAAAAATATATTAAAATTGTCAGGAAAACTACCCAACAAAAACGTAAAATATTTGAAAAAAGTGAACAATTATTTTATTTTTAATCCAATTATTTAATTACAATTACAATACTTTTCACTTTTCAAATATACAAATAATTCCTTTTCCATTTTTTTTTCAACCCTCCAGGGGTTCCCATATTATTCTTCCTTGGGGAATTGAACTCACAATCTTAAGGTTGGAAGTGAGGGGGTGCTTACCATCTGATCAACTCTCTTATCTCTCATTTTTATTTTATTTTATTTTTAACATCATTCACTTTTTTCGAATTTAACTTTTATAGAAATAATATATTATGTGATCATTTACACACATACACAAATGCATGAAATTTACCACCCACAATTCATTCAAATGTAGATTATATTTGATGTCTGCCAATATTTGGCAAGAGTTTGCAAGACAATTTTTTTTTCAATATAAACCCCATTTTGTATTCATCAATATCTAAATGGCTGAAAGTCAATCTTTCTTTTTATTTTACGTTCAATAAATCAAAGATGTACAATTGTATTTGGTATGAGGAAAAATATTTATCTATTTTTCTTATTTTTGTGGGTTTGGTGTCGATATTTATAGAAAGCAAGTTAAAAATTTAACTATCCTATTTATAAATAAATTACATCATTCACTCTTAAATTAGTTTTAAGCTAAAGGAGGTCTTGGGTTCAAGACTACTTAACTACACTTTTTTAGTATGAGTAACTTATTTAGTATATATGAGTAACATATTTTGATTGAGGATAGAACCCGAGAAGCCTAACAACAAAACATGACGGAGAACCAACACGCCATCAAACAATTACTGTTAAATAGTGTCATTTTATTACACATAAACCTTATACATAGTATTAATATATAGTAAAAAATTTCGACGAAGGAGTGTCGCTTGACACCTCTTCGCCTAACATGGGTCCGCCCATGAGTATATATGTATATGTAAGTTTCCCTTCTATCTTATTTTCTATTGTCTATATAGGTAAATGAGTTTTAATTGTCATTAATAAAATATTTTTATCTAATATTTACTTATCCAATAAATAGATAATTTTTAAAATTATAATAAAGTCTACTACTATTTTATTAATTAAATTTCGTATTACATGTTGAAACATTTAGTACAAATAATGGACCAAACATATTAGTAATAAAACTTTGAACTTACGTCCTAAATCTTTATATAAACAACAGAATTAGTAGAGACTACTAAGTTGCCACAAAAAACCTTTTATAGCGACAATTTTTTTGTCGCAGCCAATTAATTTTCCATTTTGTGGCGATAAGATAAGTTGCTGCGAAAAGTTATCAAAAAACTCTAATTTCTGGTAGTATATATATTGATCCGCACTTGGAGAGCTATAATTTATGATTTTAAGAGGCCATTGCTTGAAATGAAAATAAATTGTTCCCAAGTACACTTTGAATTTTCATATGGTAATTAAGTTAATTACATTATGTTGGTTATAAATTTTTAAACATTTTTGAGAAAATAGGTTTTTGGTGAAGTTTGAGTTGAAGTTTTGACATGTGTTTGATCATAATTTTTTGGCATATTTCACCTTTTTAAAAAAGAAATAAAGAAGACAGACATTAAACATGATTATACCTATAAGATCTAAAAACTATTAAAAATACCTACAATTGACATAAAATTGTCTTTTTTTAATAATAAACTAGCTAATACATTTTTCAAAAATTATAATACAATATTTTAATAAAAATTACTAATAACACAATTACCCACTATTACAATTCATCAAATTATAATTAGTAATGAAGATGTAATGATGAAAAAAATAGTAAATTATAATATTAATTATAATCAATAGTTATTCTTTAATATAATCTGACACTGATCTCTTCATGTCGAGCATAAATTTTCAAATAAAATAACCGAAAAGACGAAACAAACATTTTTTACTCCCGTGGGTTAGGTGGATAAAATTATAGTTGGAGCCATAATTAATGACTTTTTCTATAAAATATAAAAGTGATAAATTTTATGGCCAATAAATTTTGCCAAAATTTTAAAAGGTGGATAAGTTCTCTTAGTATATGTGGCCAAATGGTACTTTGTTTCTTGGTGAGAACAACTTACCTATATATGTTATATTATATAGCACACAACATCCATGCAGATCCAAAATAAAATATCAGTCTACATTAATTTTGCACTATTATTTTGTGGATATTAGGAGACAACCTAGCCAACCTAAATTTATATATCATGATATGTCACATCAAGCAATTTCTTGGGCTATTCATAAATAATAATAATAGAAAATATTATGCTAAAAATATTTATATATAATATAAACAAACATTATAGAAATGGAAACAGACGCAAGGGTGTTTAAAAATAGCATCAATATGATATATATAGCGGGCAATAAATTGTAAAACAATGAAAACTTAATGTCCACCCTCTTGGAATTTATTTAGAGGTTAGGTTTCATATAATTTTGTACGTTAGTCTTATTTTTTGATTAATTAACTTACGAGGTAAGAATCATGCCTAATCCTAACAAAATGGGTAATCAAATGATTAAAAAAAAGTAAAAAAAAACTTCGTTGGGCAATATGAAAGCAATATATAATTTTATTAAATACAATTAGTTTTCTAGTGATTCATGATTTTCAATCACCTTTTAATTTCATTATAATAATTAATTCCTTTATGAAAAAAAGTTTCTCTTTTCATTTTCCCCTTTTTCGAATTAATGTTTGTTTCATTATTATATATCTCATGTACAACATTTTTCTTTAATCAGGAGGTTACGTACGTGGCCCACGTAACGTGGGAATATTAATTAAATAGGACAAAAATTACATAGATATATGCAAACATAACCCAACAAATAGTGAACAAAATTTTGCTTCTCAATTTCATCATCCCAAATATACGTGCGCATTATACTTTTCTTTGGGAAAAAAGAAAATAAATAAGCATATGATTCAATTGGAGTTTGCTAAATCTGAATTCGCACATTACAAGGTTCATTTATAGAGATTTTAGATCTTTTTCCATTCTCTAAACTTGATTCTGAAACTTCTGATTAAGAATAGAGAAATCAGAGATTCTCTATCCATGTCGGCATGAGTACATACACACTAGCTTCAAAATGGTAGTATGTTTAAATTTAACATATCTAACTTGATTGGATGCAAAAATCGAATATATATATATACATTATATATAAAAGAAATGAGAAAATACTCCACCATACATTCTATAAATAAGGCCACTTACCCCCACAATGACATGTCTTTCTTGTCTATTCCAAATTTACACTCTTTGTCCCATTTTACTTTATTGGGCTAGACCAGAAAAATCTCTTCATGGTAAGAATATATGTTATTATCTTCTTTGTATCACACATATATATCTATGATATGGTTATTTTTTTAAAATTATATGTATTTTAATATTGTATCTGTATTTTCTTTTATAATCTTTCAATTATTAATGTGAGATTATATATTAGTAAGCCTTTACAATCTCTCTTTAGAATTAAGTTTTATGTGATCCATGGATCAATTTTTGAGATTCATTGTTGTCATTCACATAATTGAGGATTCTTGTGCATATGCATATTCAAGCAACCTTTAGTATCAAAATTGTAGTAAATTGAGCATTGTATTATCATTGTGCTATTTTCACACTCGTTTGGTTAAGTCATTAATTATGATATTGATTGTTGGGGTTAACTAGTCTAGTGATACTCTTAATATAGTGTTATATTATTCACTTTGATCTAAGAGTTAGGTTAGACTGTTTGGTTTTTTTCCATCTATCGAAGGCAGTCAGCGTGTTAGCTATTCTTCCCCATTAGACTTGTCAATTCTTTACTCTTTTTCCTTCTCTCTTCCGGTTCTCTCCCCCCTCTACTTTATTTGACAGGAACGGAGAATACCACTCTATCAATAACAAGAAAAAAGTAGCAATTTTGTTTTAAATGGTTTGAGCTTGAAAGCAACTTGTTCTTTGTCGATAGATGAGAACAGACTGCTATTAACCAACTTCATACCAATTTTTTTTATTAGGCAGCATCACAACATTAGGATTAGTCCTACATCTTATATGTATAGCTTCCTAATCTTCTCAACGTACTATCAATATGAGTTTTGTTAGTACACACAACTTTTATATGTATATTTGACACATTTTTCTTTTGAGTTTATGAAAACTCAAGTGAATCTCTCACAACCACTTATTTAAAAGGATAATTTCAACTCTTTACCTATATCTCACGCATATAATAGTACCTTTTAAAATTTCTTGAATTCCGTACACAATCAATCAAACACCTCATATAAAATGAGGCACAGAGAGACTATTTCTTTAAAGTATCTACAAGAAAAATAGTCACTAAAGAAAAAATGAGCAAGTCTTGCTATGATCCTAACAAGGATAAAATACAAGAAGCTTGGTCTAAAGATGATAGTAAGTACATTTATATTTTGTTTTAAACTGTAATTGTATAGCACCAATAATGTTAATACATCTGAGACTTTTTAATTAACTAATTATATTTTTTTCTTGTTTTAATATTTATCATACAAAAGATGAGATTATCCATCATAGTTATAATTTCAACATTATAATTTTATTTTGAACCAAATAACCGCGGAATTTAATTAATTTATTTTGTGTTTATAGGTATGGCTAATTGTTGCTCTAAAAGGATAATTTTTTCTAAGGAAGAAGATGATCTTATCATCAGGTTTCATGCTCTCCTTGGTGACAGGTTTATATAGCCAACTCAGACTTATATAATATGATTGATTAATAAATTTACTTAATTTTTTCATGTACCATATTGATTTATTGATCGGTCATGTCCTAGTTTACAAATTTTGAATTTCATATAAGTTCATATTTTTTGAAAATTAGTTAGACTCTATTTCCATCAATTGTATAAAAATAATAATAATAACAATAATTTTTTAATTTTTTCACATTTCAGGTGGTCACTTATAGCAGAAAGATTGCCTGAGCATAGTACTATTGAAGTAAAGAATTATTGGAACTCCCATTTAAAACTAAAACTTACAAAAATGGGAATCGATCCAATGAATTATCGTATACAAGAGTATGTTCATAAGAAAAATCTCGAATTTTTTTCATCAAGAAATAAAGGATTCGATGTAGAAATTTCTGATGCTGAAAGTTCTTCTGCATAATAATATATCATTTATTTTAATTTTAGTTTATGATGTTGAAAGTTCTTTTACACAATAATATGTACCATCTTATTTATCGTTTTTTATTTATTTTGACATTCACATCATCTTTCACCATCTAATTAATTAAAATCATGATAAAACAAATTAATTTAGTGTAAAATATCGAGTGTGTGTAAGGAATAATTTTAATAAAATAAAAAATATCGCACAGTAAGTAGTGTAATAATCAAATAGGAGAAAGTACTTCTCATCAATTTGCTTAACAACTCAACTTAGGTGGTGGGGGGGGGGGGGGGACCAACACAACTACGCGTTAAGTAGAATTTGTGATATTATTATTTATTTACACCACTCGCAAAAATGGTGAGATAGTTAAAATTGCCTGACATTAACTAGGTATCTCAGTTCGAATTATCCTTTAAGAATATATAGGAAATTTCTTGGTTAGGACCAAGGATTTGTTTCCTCCCTTTGTGAATCTACTCAATATCAATTTGGATTAATAATATAGTGGACTACGAATACCGAATGATTAAACCGAATAAATAAAACTTCATATATAAAAGAGCATTTGGTGAACGATAAATCATAAACAATACATTAAGTAACACAAGAAAATTTGGATAGATAATTTTATAATTATATTGACATGAACATAATTTTTTATATCTGAATATTAATTTTAAAATATTAAATTTATCTAAGTAAAGTTAACTTGAAAAATCAGTTATATTAATTTTAATAAAATGAAAAATACCACATAAATTAGGACGTTGGTAGTAGGGGTGTTCACGGTTTGGATAAAAACCGATCCAAATCGAAAAATCGAACCAAATCGATAAAATAAAACCGATTTTATTTGGATTTGGTTTGGTTTGGTTTTAGATTTTTGAAAACCGATAGTATTTGGTTTGGTTATGGTTTTATTCGAAATAAATCAAAGAAATAACCAAACCGATGAATTATATACATATTTTTATTAATATACATATTTAATATATTATTTTTATAAACAATTTTATAGATCTTATACATATTTTCATTAAAATTTCTTTATAATTTACTTATTGAAAGCAAAAATGTCCCAGATGAAACATTTATCCTATTGATTTCACGTATATGAGTGTCTATGACAATTCTTTGTGGGACTGAAAAAGTTATTGTCTCTTCTGTCTAGGCCAATATAGTGAATTTTAAAGCTTTATTGATAGTAAATTTAGTGATCGAAAGTTTAGTAATTTAAGTCATTCTAACTATTTTTCGTTTTGAATGGATTGTTGTCACTTTTTTAACATTTTGAATGAATTGTTTCTTTTATTTTTGTGTATGGTTAATAACCGAACCAAACCAAACCGAAACCGATAACTACCAAACCGATAAATGTATATTATATTTGGTTTGGTTTGGTTTTGATAATTTTAAAATTGATTAAGTTGGTTTAGTTTTGGTTTTAATCAATAACCGATCCAAACCGACCCGTGAACACCCCTGCGAGTAATAATCAATTACAAATATCAAATCTTACACCTAATAAAAATGTTCTTTATTAAGAGACAAAACATCAAGATTAGTATAAAATGACAGCTGATAGAAGCTGGTTTTTTCTATGGTAATATTCTTAAATATTCAATAAATATTACTATAAAGTTGACAAAATCAATGTTGATATAGCAATTTTAAAAACTATTTTTTCCTTTTTTGACATAAAATATTACAAATATTTTTATATATTTTATATATCTTTAATTTAAAATAAAATTTGGTGTCGAGTTAAAATAAAATAAAATAAAATAAAAAAATTGAAACAGAATAGCTAACAATTTAACTCAAGCTTCAGTATTCCCCATTAGTGTTTGTACTGACATTTCTCCACCAAAAAACAACCACCATGGCCGGCGGAGAAGCCACCGCCGTTGCCGGAGACCACCCTATTGCCATCCCACTCCGGCTACTCCATGAGGTGTCACAGATCTCAACTGCCGGATTTTGTGGTAAATTCAAGAAAGATTGTACAGATTTAGCAAGAAGAGTTACACTTTTGGCTCATTTGTTTGATGAGTTAAAAGACTCAAATACCCTTTTGGGTTCTTCATCTTCTTCATTCAATTCTTGCTTTTCTGATCTCTCAGTTGCTCTTCAAGCTGCAAAACAACTACTTTTAGCAGCTAATGAACTTGATCCCAAGATCCACTCTGTAAGTGTCTTGTTTAGTAAAGTTTCAATCTTTTTATCTATATGTGTTAATTCCCATTTTGTCATAATTTGCATTTGGTGTAGTAAAGTTTCAATCTTTTTGTCTACTTGTTGATTCCCATGTTGTCATATTTTGCATTTGGTGTAGTAAAGTTTCAGTCTTTTTATCTATGTTAAATCCCATGTTGTCATATTTTGCATTTGGTGTTGTAAAGTTTCAATCTTTTTATCTATGTGTTAAATCCCATGTTCATATTTTGCATTTGGTGTTGTAAAGTTTCAATCTTTTTATCTATGTGTTAAATCCCATGTTCATATTTTGCTTTTGGTGTTGTAAAGTTTCAATCTTTTTATCTATTTGTTAGTTCCCTTCTTATCATATTTTGCATTTGGTGTAATGAAGTTTCAATCTTTTTATCTATTTGTTGATTCCCATGTTGTCATATTTTGCATTTGGTGTTGTAAAGTTTCAATCTTTTTATCTATTTGTTAGTTCCCTTCTTATCTATATTTTGCATTTGGTGTAATGAAGTTTCAATCTTTTTATCTATTTGTTGATTCCCATGTTGTCATATTTTGCATTTGGTGTTGTAAAGTTTCAATCTTTTTATCTATTTGTTAGTTCCCATTATGTCAGAGGTGGAGTTGAGATTTGAAGCTTATGGATTCAGAATTTTAGTCCGTTGTAGTTTCTAGATTCAAAATTAATAATTTGTACATATTACAAATTCAGAGTTTGAACTAAAGGTACTAGATTTGGCTGAATAGTTTGTCTCCGCCTCTGCATTATAGTCTAGCTCCGCCCCTAAATTTAAAGAAAGGTGCTTGTTGTTAAATATGATCCGTCCATTCAGTTTTTACGCTTTGTTGTGAATATGCATACATTGATGAACAACCAAGATTTTTAAATTTCTATGGTAGAACTGCCAAGAAAGATTCATCTGATTCAAATAGGAATTGTAGATTTATTAGTAACTAAAGTTTTATGGTTAAATAACTTGTTGGTCACTTAATTTGACTTTGCGAGCCATGAACTTAAGCTTTGCTAGCGAAATTCCTGAGATGGACCAACAATGTTTTTAGTTCTATTCAATTACCTTCGTATATCAGCTATGTCGTCAAATCGTGCTCCCAATCATCTTATTCAATGCACTTCTTTTTTCTTCTGATAAGTCCAATCGTCTTGTGAGGCCTTAGCTCTTACGACTCACTGCTTGTCAGTTGGACAAAGTCCAAGAGTAATCCTTAAGCAGTCTAAATGTGAGCAAGATATGATTCAAGACTGCAGGTCAATCTTGTTATAATTTCATTGGTAGCGAAGCTATGATTCTGCTAAAAAGTTTCTTAAAATGGTGGTGTTTGTGCCAGCTTGCACGTACCTACTTTTTTTTTTTGCTTCTGTTTGGATTTGAATGATGGTTTCCCATGATCCATTCCAACTTCGTTGGCTGCTAGGATGCACCCTTGGGTTCACTATATTGGTTATATATCCAACTTGTGCCTCCAAAATGCAGAAATGGAACAGATTGCCTGTGTTAATCACATTGACATTTGAGAAAAATATTTTTTTTTCCTTATTGAGGTCTTTATATTATTTGATGATGTCTCAATCCTCATTCAAGGCAGTGTTGTGTACCTCTCTAATATGTGCTATTTCTTGACTCAAGGATGTCGCGGTAAAGAAAATAAACTTTCGGTTTCAATGTATTACATGGAAATTGGAGAAAGCCCTTGGTAACTTCCCATATGATCATTTTGACATATCAGAAGAAGTGCAAGAGCAGGTTTGCCTTGAGCTTTGGCTTTTATCTTTTCCGGTTTGTGCTCGACTCCTTGGTATTTCCCCCTCTGATATTTCTTACTTTTTCCAGGTTGAATTGGTCAGAGCACAGTTGAGACGAGCCACAGAAAAGTATGGTGGCCCTGTAAAGTCAAACTTATTATCTCGAGCATCGTCACAACCACTGGATAAGGAGATTGATTTACTCCATTCAGGAAATAGTGGAATTGGAACTTTACATATAGAAAATATTGGCAATATTGATCATGAAGTTAGGCCAAAAGTTGGACGTGTTCCTCGAGGTAGTGTTCGAAACGGAAGTTACTGCAGTCAGATTGTTCAGGAGTCTGAAAGAATAGGAAATTCTTCCAAGTTGTCTGAGGTTGGTGATCTAGAGATTTCCGGAGAAGATGACTCTCCATTTAAGAGTCACGAGGAGAGTAAAAAGTCCAACTGTCCTGTAACTCCTACAGAGTTTATTTGCCCTATTTCCCTTGAGCTCATGAGGGATCCTGTTATTGTAGCTGCCACAGGGCAGGTAATATGCTTGTAACTCCATTTACTTTAGATTGAAGGGTCAAAAACAGTAAAACACACCTAAAGTATTCCGGTTTTTCGAGTTTCGTACTTGGAATATTAGGTATGCGAATTTTTTATCTGAACTATCACCAACTATTTATCAAAAACATACCTCAACTATCATTGTTCCCTTTTTCTACCTTAACGGTACGGTGGTGATATTTCATGTAGGAAAAGGGAACAACTTATAGTTGAGGTGTGTGTTGATAAATAGTTGGTGATAGTTCATGTAGTAAACTCGCACACCTGATAGTTTAGGTATAAAACTTGAACAACCAGGATAGTTTAGGTGTGTTTTTGACCATTACTCTTTACTTTAACATGTCTATGGATGTGCTTTGGTTGTTTCGTAACCTTACAGACTTATGAAAGATCGTACATACAACAATGGATAGATGGCGGCCACACAACATGCCCAAAAACTCAGCAACAACTCCACAATCTTACGCTTACCCCAAATTATGCTCTGAAAAATCTAATTAGTGATTGGTGTGCAAAGAATAATATACTACAGCCAACAGTATTTGCAA